ACGGAAAGGTTTCTTCACAGTAAGAGCTATGAAAATGTGGAATAGACTCCCTCAAGAGTTGGTTTTGGCCAGCTAGATTGCTTTAAAAAAGGCCTGGATCCTTTCCTAGATACACATAATATAACTGGATACTAACATTTATAGATAAAGTTGATCTAGGGAATATCCGATTGCCTCTCGGGATCAGGAGGGAATTGTTTCCCCAGGAGCAGGGGCAAATTGGATCAAGCTTTGCTGAGGGTTTTTTTTGCCTTGCTCTCGATCAACTGTGGGTATAGAATTATAACTTTTTTTTGTTGTTGTTGGAACTAGATAGACTTTTGTATTTTTTCAGCCAGACTAACTATATTTCCCTGTAGCTGCTTATGTGCCTCTTCTTCCTCCTCCTTCACAGCTAATCCCACCATTGCCCCACAAACTGGCATGGAGGAATCAACTGGATTACTTCAGCTCAGCATTAGTAACTTGCTGCAGAATACACAGTAAATAATTTTATCTGATGTTGAGGAGAGTGCCTGGAACAGAGGGAGAGGACAACAGGCAGGGAGATGCAGCAGCTATTGATGTTCCTGCAGCTGAAGCTTACTGTCAAATGAGCTCGAGCGATAAGGAGGGTGGGGATAGTGAGTTGGAAGACTGAATCTGGTTGCCAGATATTGTAGAGTTGGAAGGTGAGGGACAAAGACAACATCAGTGAGGCAGGATGTTGTCCAGGGGCAGCTTGCAGAGGAGTCAAGGGATCAGCTATCCTATTCCAAAGGAGGACACTTCCCCACAAGTGCAAGCCACTGCTATCTGCTGCTCTGCAGTCTTGGCCTTTTTAACACATCTGCTACACACAGGGCCATAGTGGTTTCCAGCCTCTGCCTGCAGTAAAGCTGGTAAATGTATCAGTTATTTCAGTACCACACACATGAGGAGGCACATCATTTACAACACAAAGCTTGGTTGGTGCACAACATGCATTGCAGCAAATTGCCCACACTCCTACTCCTCTCTCTCCCTCTTCCTTCCACCTCTTCCACAAGAATCTCCACCTGCATCCGATGCAACATCTGTGGCCTCAAGTGATATGAATGGAAGTTTGACAAGAGAATTGAGAGGCCTACCTTGTGACACATAAAGCAAGAATGAAAGTCAGTATGGGGCAGGGGCGGACTGACCATTTGGAAACTCGGGCACTGCCCGAGGGCCTGGGGTTAATAGGGGGCCCCATGAGATGCCCCTGGTACCTTTTTCATAGGCTTTTTTGAGTTTGGGCAAGGACACAGGGGCCCCATGATCCCCTATTGCCCGGGGTCCCCATGAGTTGTCAGTCCGCCCCTGGTATAGGGCCACGCAGTGTAGGGCAAAGCAGTAGACTTCAACTTTGCCATTAATCTCCTAACCACACCCTGCAGTCTCCAGCAGCATTCTGCCCAGGCAGCTGTCTCCCCCCCAATCAACCCATACTTAGTGTCTCAATGCCAGCTAGCTTTACAGGTGAAACTGCTTCATCTGGTGATGTCTGCCCCTTCCACGACATTGAGGGCTGTGCTACAACCCAACCTAAATTGTTTCACTCAGCAAGCCATTCCTGTCCTCGACAAGTCTTTGGAAGCTAATATGTGGTCTGTGCAGGGTCCACATGACCAGAGACATGTGTTCCATTAAGCAAAAACAGGTTCATTATATCTCTGGTGGTTGAGAAGGATGCAGAATAAGGCATGCAACTAGAGCGGGTGTTGCTGCCCCATGTCCTGCAGCTTGGGAATGATGAAAGCTTAACTTTTATACTCTCATCTAGAGTCTTGTCAGAACCACCATAGGTTACTATACTGATAAAAGATTTTAGATGAATATCCCTGATGTGTAAGGGGTGATTTCTACCTGGCAGAGAAAACTAGATTAGGTCCCAGGGGAACACAGGCTGCTATAGAGGGGGGGCCTGATCCAAGAAAAGGCTTGAATATAGTTTTTCTGTGACAGAGGTGAAGCGTGAGGCCCTTTTGAAGGAGTAGATAAAGCCAAAACTCACCTTATCTGGATGATGAGAGCTAAATTTTAGTTAGACTTGATATTAGGAGGGTTAGATGTGAGGCATATAGTAAATCCTGGGATAAAATAGGCTGCTCTCACTGCAGACGAAATAATATTTCCAATATTTCTGGCAATCAACAATCGACAGACTAAGGGACCCTGACAGTCACTGCTCTCTCTGCTCACACTTCTCTTTTAAGTTGTACATAGCTACATGTGTAAAACATTTTCCTTGGTCCAGATGGTGATGGCTGAGATAACCCACCTGTCAGTTGTCCTCAACTGGGATGTGTATTGGAGAAATTGTTGTATAGTGAATTTCGCATGTGTGAGTGTCATTTTGAGCTCTCACCATGTAAAACAACCCATTAAGTTTAAAATATAATTGAAAGGCAAAACATTTATGTATACATTTAAAAACATTATAAATACTTTTTTTTTAAAAGTGATCACATACCTTCTGTTCTCAGCTGCATAGGGAGCTCTGGGAGCTGGAGGAAGAGAAACGGCATGCACTGGTCTTCTCAGTGAATGGTTGTGGGGGAAGCATGTCAGCAGAAGTCTGATCATTGGAGGAGAGCAGGCTGAGTTCTCAGCACCACCAGAAAGCTGACCATGCTGCGCTCTCATGCCTATTGTGGTCAGTTTTTATTGGAAATCAGATTGGCAGGAGCATCAGGGATTTCACACAAAGGAAGTAATACAAAGGGAGCAGGATACTTTTTCATACATGGTACAGCAGGCACATATCAGGAATATGAAATGTTGGATTGACATATTCTTTATCTAATATTTACTCTTTTTCCTTACTAATTGATATGTTTTTCTGTTTAACACTCTCTAGCTTAGCTACATAGCAGTTTATTGTTTTATTTTTCTAGGCAGAGGCTGAGTAGCAGCCAGGGATGAGTCAGCCTGTGAGTGAGGAAGCAAAATCATCTCAGGACAGGATAGGGAGGTTCTAAGGTCAGAGCTTCTGAAGCCCTTCCATCTCTCCAGAAACCTGACAGCTTTATGGAGGGGGGGAGGAAGCTCAGATTTGCATGCTTAAGGGACCTCGGCCAATCTCCTGGCAGGAGGCTGGGTATTGTGACCAAGGCAACCCTTAAGAATCACAGAGCCTTGGAGTGGCAGGAGAGTATTGGGTGGAAGATGGTGTGAGAGGCTGGAGTGTGGAGCCTGGGAGGAGGCCCAGGGAAGGAGCCTACCTACAGGCAGGTGCTGGAGAAAAGGATCTCCACTGTACCATCATCTCCAAGGGAGGATATCCTGAGCAGCAGAGAATGAGCCAGCACAGTGAAAGGCCTGGAGGCAGCCACCAACCCATTAAGTTATCAGGAAGGACAGTGTGAATACACCTACACCCCCCGGGCTGCATAAGGGGAGAGAGCAGTCAGGTGTAAACCCCAACTGGCTTCTCATCCGGGGCTGCTGTGCTAAGTTGGCAGCTTCTGGGCCCCCTTGCCCAGGGAATACCTTCAGTACAGCTGGGTGAAGGGGAGGATTCATCTGGGGTCTGAGGAGGTACATCAGAGAGATGAAAGGCTCGTAAAGGAGAGACTATTTTTGTCCACATCTGTACATAATTGTGAAGGAGTTTGTCAGGAATGGACTTGCCAGTGGTGGTGGGACTCACCTGCCTTGTGGGCTGCAGTACCAGGGCTGGCCAGCGGGTGCTCTCAGCAACCAGAGGCTCACTCCTGCAATGAGCCATCACCTGAGGCTGATTGCAGCAGGTGTATTTAAGGAATGGCCAGGCCTGTGATCAGGGCCATGGTGTAATGTTTCCCATGAGCCCCTGTACCTGCATCCTGTCTGCTTCCTGCTTGATTCCTGATTCTGCTTGATCCTGACTCTGAGTGAACTCCGCCTGTCCTGACCTCGGCTATTCCTGACCACTCTACCGCTCTCTCCTGGTACCCTGTTTGCCCATTTGCTACCGACCCAGCCTGCCCGACTACGTTGATTTGTATATATGGTTATCTGTTGGAGTTTGGGTTGTTTGCACTGTGTTATGTTTACCTTGCACTGCATTTGTGTTGTTTAGTCTTAGTAAATTGTCTTATTTACACTATACCTGAAGCCTGCGTTTCCCTGTGTCAGTCCACACATTTCTGGTCATGCCCGGATCCCTAACAGAACACCAAGGCCATTCCTGACGAGAAGTGGCTGCACAGGGAAGCCATCTTGGCTTGTTGTTGGGAAGGATGCATCCTGAGGAGGTTATATATTTGTGTCTGCTAGTCTTTGATGACAAAGATTATGCCTATGAGACTCTGCAGGAGTATACCAGGGATCAGCTGCTAGAATGCATAGGGGTCGCGCATTCCCTGGTAGATCAGGGCACAGAGTTCTCTGAGGTGCAACCATTAATTCAGGCTTCTGTGGAGTTGGCTTCAGCTAGTACCCCTGAAAGCAGGGATAACTTTTTTCCCCCATTCAGTGCAGATCAAGTGGAATCGCTGGTATGGTTGTTGGAGGATGATCCAGATTGCTTCCATGAGCATTATGCAGCTTGTCCATCACATGAGCTAGTGGAGTGTATAGACGCAGTGCAGTCTTTGGTCAGACAGGCTATGTGTAAGCGGAGTTGTGTTTAACCCATACTACAGTCCTGGGCAGACTTGTTACATCCAGCCTCAGTCAGCTTGCAACAAACCAGTCCTGCTTCTCATCATTCCTCTGCTCAAAGCTCTCTTCCTGCACTCCCGACAGCACCCCCAATGACAGCCCAGTATACCGTGCTAGCTAACACATGTCAGTCCCCTGCTCCCACTCGCTGCACCTATCCTGCCTTTTACCCTGTAAGGAAGCCCTCTGTAGCAACTGCTCCCTCCTTTGTTCCATCCTCCGGCTCTTCCCTGTCTTCAGCTGCTCCATCCATTTACAGACCTGCGTTTACTTACAGTGCTCCAGTAACTAAACCCAAGAAGAAGCGAAAATTCTTTCCAACCAGTACCATCCTACCAGTATCCAAATCAGTCAGCCTGCTGTCTGAGAACCTGCCTTCTGTTATCCAGCCTGGTGCCCCAGTGCCCGCTGTTCAGCCTGATGCCCGGATGCCTGATGACCCAGTGTACCCGATCCGGCCTGATGACCCGATCCATCCTGATGACCCGATCCAGCCAGATGACTCGGTGCCCGGTGTCGAGCTTGGTGACTCAGTGCCCATGGTTCTGCCAGACGACTCGGTGCCCGCTGTCGTGCCAGATGATTCTGTGCCCGCTGTCGTTCCAGATGACTCGGTGCCCGCTGTCGTGCCAGATGACTTGGTGCCCGCTGCCCTGCCAGATGACTCGGTGCCCGCTGTCAAGCTTGGTGACCCGGTGCCGTGGTTCTGCTAGATGGCTCGGGGCCCGCTGTCGTGCCAGATGACTCGGTACCCGCTGTCGTGCCAGATGACTCGGTACCCGCTCTCATGCCAGATGACTCGGTGCCCACTGTCGTGCCAGATGACTCGGTGCCCGCTGTCGTGCCAGATGACTCGGTGCCCGCTGTCGAGCTTGGTGACCCAGTGCCCACGGTTCTGCTAGATGACTCTGTGCCTGCTGTCGAGCTTGGTGACCCAGTGCCCGCGGTTCTGCCAGATGGCTCGGTGCCCGCTGTCGTGCCAGATGGCTCGGTGCCTGTCTGTCGTGCCAGATGACTCGGTTCCCGCTGTCAAGCTTAGTGACCCAGTGCCCGCTGTCGTGCCAGATGACTCGGTGCCCACTGTCGTGCCAGATGACTTGGTGCCCGCTGTCGAGCTTGGTGACCCAGTGCCCGCTGTCGTGCCTGGTGACTCGGTGCCCGCTGTCGTGCCAGATGACTCGGTGCCCGCTGTCGAGCTTGGTGACCCAGTGCCCGCGGTTCTGCCAGATGACTCCGTGCCCGCTGTCGTGCCAGATGACTCGGTGCCCCCGCTGTCGTGCCAGATGACTCGGTGCCCGCTGTCGAGCTTGGTGACCCAGTGCCCACGGTTCTGCTAGATGACTCTGTGCCTGCTGTCGAGCTTGGTGACCCAGTGCCCGCGGTTCTGCCAGATGGCTCGGTGCCCGCTGTCGTGCCAGATGGCTCGGTGCCTGCTGTCGTGCCAGATGACTCGGTTCCCGCTGTCAAGCTTAGTGACCCAGTGCCCGCTGTCGTGCCAGATGACTCGGTGCCCACTGTCGTGCCAGATGACTTGGTGCCCGCTGTCCCCGCTGCGAGCTTGGTGACCCAGTGCCCGCTGTCGTGCCTGGTGACTCGGTGCCCGCTGTCGTGCCAGATGACTCGGTGCCCGCTGTCGAGCTTGGTGACCCAGTGCCCGCGGTTCTGCCAGATGACTCTGTGCCCGCTGTCCTGCCAGATGACTCGGTGCCCGCTGTCGAGCTTGGTGACCCAGTGCCCGCGGTTCTGCCTGATTGCCCGGTGCCTGCTGCTCCGCCTGATTGCCCGGTGCCCCCGCTGCTGCTCCGCCTGATGGCCCGGTGCCCGCTGCCTTGCCTGCTGCTCCACCTGATGGCCCGGTGCCCGCTGCCCCGCCTGATGGCCCAGTACCCGCTGCCCCGCCTGATGGCCCGGTACCCGCTGCTCCGCCTGATGGAGGGTACCCGCTGCTCCGCCTGATGGCCCGGTGCCCGCTGCCTTGCCTGCTGCTCCACCTGATGGCCCGGTGCCCGCTGCCTTGCCTGCTGCTCCGCCCGCCTGATGGCCCGGTGCCCGCTGCTCCACCTGATGGCCCGGCCCCTGCCCGCTGCTCCGCCAGATGGCCTGGTGCCCGCTGCTCCACCTGATGGCCCGGTGCCCGCTGCCTTGCCTGCTGCTCCACCTGATGGCCCGGTGCCCGCTGCTCTGCCTGATGGCCCAGTACCCGCTGCCCCGCCTGATGGCCCGGTACCCGCTGCTCCGCCCTGATGGAGGGTACCCGCTGCTCCGCCTGATGGCCCGGTGCCCGCTGCCTTGCCTGCTGCTCCACCTGATGGCCCGGTGCCCGCTGCCTTGCCTGCTGCTCCGCCTGATGGCCCGGTGCCCGCTGCTCCACCTGATGGCCCGGTGCCCGCTGCTCCGCCAGATGGCCTGGTGCCCGCTGCTCCACCTGATGGCCCGGTGCCCGCTGCCCAGCCTGACCTCCGCCTGATGGCCCGGTGCCCGCTGCTCCGCCTGATGGCCCGGTGCCCGCCTGCCTCTGCCTGCTGCCCAGCCTGACGTGCCTCTGCCTGCTGCCCAGCCTGACGTGCCTCTGCCTGCTGCCCAGCCTGACGTGCCTCTGCCTGCTGCCCATCCTGACGTGCCTCTGCCTGCTGCCCAGCCTGACGTACCAGCTCCTGATGCCCAGCCTGCTTCTGGAAATCCTGTGTCCAGTAATCTGCCTTCCTGCAGTCTCCTGCAAAAAGATAGGCCTATCAGCAGGAGACCCAGCCAATCACTTGATTCCGGCAGTGGGATGTCCAGCCAGTTGCCGGACCCAGGTGGTGGAACATTTGGGCCATTATGGACTGTTTGGAGCGTCCTGAGGCCGCTCCTTGAGGGGGGGGGTACTGTCAGGAATGGACTTGCCAGTGGTGGTGGGACTCACCTGCCTTGTGGGCTGCAGTACCAGGGCTGGCCAGCGGGTGCTCTCAGCAACCAGAGGCTCACTCCTGCAATGAGCCATCACCTGAGGCTGATTGCAGCAGGTGTATTTAAGGAATGGCCAGGCCTGTGATCAGGGCCTTGGTGTAATGTTTCCCATGAGCCCCTGTACCTGCATCCTGTCTGCTTCCTGCTTGATTCCTGATTCTGCTTGATCCTGACTCTGAGTGAATTCCGCCTGTCTTGACCTCGGCTATTCCTGACCACTCTTCCGCTCTCTCCTGGTACCCTGTTTGCCCGTTTGTTACCGACCCAGCCTGCCCGACTACGTTGATTTGTATATATGGTTATCTGTTGGAGTTTGGGTTGTTTTCACTGTGTTATGTTTACCTTGCACTGCATTTGTGTTGTTTAGTCTTAATAAATTGTCTTATTTACACTATACCTGAAGCCTGCATTTCCCTGTGTCAGTCCACACATTTCTGGTCATACCCGGATCCCTAACAGAGTTTGTCCTTAAGTTTGCAGTTCTTTGGGCATCCCATACACCCATCTACCCCATCCAAGATAAAACGGATCTCTCACTTAGGGAATATCGATGTCCGCCAATTGAACACAGATTATCAGTCCACAGCAGGAGTGTAAAATCATCAAAGAGGTCAAATGTTTAGAGAGTCCCAGATAATTACAAATGACACCTCTGCTCCCCAGCACCTCTTTGGCTGTGTCTTTGGGTTGGATCGGCAGCACTAATTCTGCTGTGTTTCCAGAACGGTTTGGGAGCATCATTTATCGCTATATAGTGATCATTTTTCTTTTTGCCAGAGGGACTTTGACTGGTGGGAGGCACCTGATCAACTACAAAAGCACTCTATCTGACCTGGTATGCATCCAATTAGCAATTATTAATGGATCTATTTAGTATGTCTTCCTTTTCTCTCTTTTTGTTGAGGAGAGTAGAACATATTTAAATTTTGTAATAGTGAATTTGAGATCCCACCAGGGGTATAGTAGATATTTTGTCTTGCTTGTATTGTAGTTTCCTGTTTATAGGGTCTTTATATATAATTAGTGTGGGGAGCAGGGGTGTAGTTTGTAATTCCCTGGGACATTCTAAACATTTGATCTCTTTGATGATTTTACAACTCCTGCTGAGGACTGATAAAATCTGTGTGTTCAATTGGTGGACACCGATATTCCCTAAGTGAGAGATCCTTTTTATCTTTGTCTGGACTCTATGCTCATGCTCTTTTCCACTGGCCTCTAGCGAAGTCTTTGATGTCATTTTGGGTAAATGTCAATGGAGCGTGTTAGATTTATTATTATGACTTCAATATGGTATATATTTATTTTCAGTTTTTGGTCTATTTTGTATAATTTCAGAGTTTATATACTTTTTCTCCCTGAAGAAGCTGGCTGCGTCCCACAAAACGTGTTGGAGAACAAAAAACAAGTATCTACTTGTAATAACTTTGTCAGTTATGGAGAACAATAGTATAGCATTCTCTTGTACCAGTTACGATATCCAGGCTATCTGAAGCCTCACTTTGCACTAATGTATATCTATTGTACTTGTTACCAATCTTACAAGCTTTTTAAGAATAATAAACTATGCGCTCAATTCTTTATTACCACAACAGTGGTTTGAATTTTATTAATAAAGTTGTATTTATTATACAGTTTGTAATTGTATTTTTGTGGTATGGTGCCTTTAACACCCCAGTTTTTTCAGTGTTTGAATAAGGGCCTGGAGTTAGGGGAACCTCACATTTTGTTTACTTTTTTGGGTGGGGTTCTCCATTGAAATTAATTTGGGGGAACCCTAAGTTTTCTTTTGTGTGGGGGTCCCCCTTGGCATCAAGGAGCTGTCATATACCAATAGTTTTAAACAGCAATTTTCTTTCTTTGTAAATGTCAGTTTTGTTGTACAAGGTTGTACATCATACAGGTGTACTACTTCACAGGCAGGCTGAGTATTCTCGAGGCATGTTACCTAAAGGAATTTTGCATTTTTAATGGTGCCTTATTAAAATCACTGCTATCTGACCTCTGGAAGGTTTTACCCCTTCTAAAAAGGAACAATTTTCATTTAAAGGAGAAGTAGAGCCAAAGCTTCTTCTCCTATGGGTCACAGGAGTGCACTTCTCCGTTGTTGGCTGACATCACTCAGGTGTCTGGACAATCCCTTCCTTAATGTCAGCATCCACTCAGATGTCTGACTGGCATCTGGCTCAGCCCCTCCACAATCCAGCACTCCTGTGAGCACTGGAAGGGCAAAGCAGAGAGAATGTGACTGACACTCACCAGCTCTCCGCTCACTAAAACACAAAATTGTTCAGTGATCTTTAATAAATGCTGTATCAACTGTGGTGAGTGTGTATGTTTGTAATTTTGAAATCTCTTACTTCTCTTTTAAAGAATTTGTTCCATCTGTCCAATTGCACAGGGCGACCTACTGGATAGAGGCCAGTTTGCACCTTCCAACATATAGCTTGTTCTCCATCACTGGCTGAGTAGAGCGTATATAGTCATGACCAAAAATATTGGCACACCTGCATTTCTGTCAGATAATGCACCACTTTGCCCAGAAAACTGTTGCAATGACATGTTTCGGCATTCTCATGTTTATTTCTTTTGTTTGTATTGGTATGACATAATAAAGTGGAGAAAAAAAGCCAAATCTGACACATTCCACACAAAACCCCAAAAATGGACTGGCCAAAATTATTGGTACCCTCAATTTCATGTTTGGTAGCACACCCCTTGGAAAAAATAACTGAAAGCGATCAC